CGTCATCGTCCTTCCCGGACACCAGGCCCAATATCAACAATGTGCGTGTTGTCCGTTAGCCAAAGATGGAGTTCACCCTTTTCTTTTTCTTTGGGATACACCGGCAGAGTAACGAGCATCACATTCCTGTTATCTTCACCGTCAATTGTCGCTGTGGTGAACCCGCTCCTAACGGCCTTCCCTTCTCCGTCCTTTTTGTTGCCCCACACGCGCGAGAGTGTCCCGAGTGCCTCCGTCCACGACTCCCCCTTGTCGCCGGACTCGTACACCCTGCGGCGGCCATCACCACACGCAGTCATCATCATGAGTTTGTCCTTCCACTCCACGACGGAGGGATCACTGCAGCCATCGGCAGACATCCCCTTAGACAGCTTCCAATTCTTAGTATCCTGCAAGTGTAGTACCAAAGAAACGGTAGTTGTCTTTCCATCCTTTCCTGCGTCTACGTCATCCTTCTTTTTCGTGCCTTCCAGCGGAAAAACAAGCGTACCATCCTTCATCTTAACACCCGATCCGCCGCTTCCAATCAGTCCTGTCAAGGATGAAGGTTGTTCGCCCAAAGTTGTCGTCGGGACAGCGCTGGTATCTTTCCACTCAATTTGTTTGTTACTTTCTTTATCACTGACTGTCCCTTTCACCAGCAATAGTCCCCAGTCATCTGCATCACTCCCCTGACCACCTTTACGACTGTATTTCCCAACGACCATGTAAATATTACTTTCCCTCACAACCGTTGTTGGTCCGCTCACATCCAATTCCTTGCTTGTGGGAGCGCCTTCCTCCAGAACTCGTATCACTCTGGCTTTCGTAAGCACTTCCTCCGGTGTGTTATCGTTTTTTATCGTGAGAAGTTGGGATGCAATGCCAGTAAAGGTATCTTCTCCATCCTTCTTCTTGCACTGCGCCTCGGCAACGGCAAATACGCCACTCCCCACTTTCAAAAGGCCGGGAACACCCAACGATTTCACACTTACGCCCTCCTCATTAGCGTCCTCCAATTGATACTTTGGATCTGCCGGCAGATCCTCCACAGCTTGCGTAGCTCCACCACTGCTGCAGCAAATCATCACGACGAGGAGGAGGAGCACCGCGGAAGTAAACGCACACCGGGACATGTTGGGCCTCTGCCGCTCACTCTCTCTTCCTTCCCTCCTCCTTCCGCTGGATCCGGTCACGCGGCGACGGTTGTGTGTGCGGGGTGCCTTCACAGCAGCAACACGTGAGAGCATATAAATATGTGTGTGTGGGCGGTGTGTGTGCTGTTGGTCCTTTCAGTGCCTTACAATTTCACAGTAGCAATTAGCGCTTGTTTTCCCTTCTTTGCGAGGGTGGGAAATAAATAATGAGAAAACATGTCCACAAAAAAAGTACAACAGTAACCACCGTCACCCATCCACACTGTGAGTGGCACCATCATCCCCGCCGCAGTCACTCCCAACAACAACTCACGCACACAGACACACGGAACAGCGGAAAGAAGAACAGTACACAGGAAGCACACAGCGATTGCCACCACCAGCACCAGCAGGAGTCACGGCGGATGTCTTATTCGTTACGCGTCAGCACACACCAGGCGACGTCCACACACAAAAAAAACATCGGAATGCAAAAGGCACAACCGTCCTCCGCAGCACCCACGCGCTCTCACCAGTCATTTTACTGTTCTCCCTTCCAACGCACATCACCCGCTCCGCCGCCGGCGCACACCGCCTCGCACAGCCGGAAAAGCCCCCGCCATCAAATACACAACAAGAAAGACGCTTCGGCACCTGCAGCTGCTGGGCGGAAATCGCTCCGCACCTATTTCAGGCACCCTCAACAACGCACGACAAAGACAAGCGTTGCAGGCTCCCTTCAATCCCCATCCCAAGGGCCGCAGCAGCCAGAATCGTGTTCGTGCGTGCGTTCATTCTCAGCGTTTTAAACACGGCATGTTCAGCATGACATGTGTGTACATTTGCTTGTGTTTGACAGCGCCTATACTTGCAGAGCAGCTGTGCGCCACAAGAGAGTCTGAAGAAAGCAACGGCAGAGAGAGGCAGATAGCACACACGCAAATTACTCATATCATCGCACACACACGCAGCCGCGGAATGGGTGCACTCAACCACAAAATCAAAAAGGAAAACAAAACAAAAAGCCGAAGCGTGGGACGACCAGCGCACATACTCACTGCTCCCGTAAAGCAAAACACACACACAGAGGGAGAGAGAGAGGTCGCCCACTCAATGCAATGAAAACAAAACAGAAACAGTTACGGTGCTCCGCCCATGCAGCCAGGCAGGACGGCAGCGGTGCGTGTGGTGCAAAGGAGAGCACCAACGGGCCTGCATGGGTGTGCATGCATATATACAATGGGCACATTATTGTGTGCGCCTCGTGGGGTGAGGTGAGGGCGAGAGTCCATGCAAGGGGACACACACAGAGAGAAAGACGAGTGTGTGTGCGGGCGGTGCATGGCTCTCTCACACTCACTCTCACGCGGCCACCACCGCAGCCGCACAGCAACATGAAGAAGAAGCAAAAGAGGGGAGGTGGTGTGGGAGACCGCGGTGCTGCCGTCACTGTAACCGTCATTTTTATTTGCCGTGTTATTTGTACCGAAGGCGGTCTTTTTCTTTGCTTCTCCGTCATTTTTAAGGGAATGTTTATGTTGGTGGTCTTCTTCTGTAGCTGCCGATTCAGGAAATTCAGCATCTTTTCGAATGTTCGCGTCTTCCTCGTCTGCCCCAAGTGCGGCAGCAGCACCACCTTCTCCTGCAGAAGATTGTGGCAACGGTGGGTCAATGGTTTCATTTGATTTCCTTTTCGTTGAAACCGAGGGAATTTCCCTTTTCAATGGATCTGATGAACTGGCGGCGGATCCCTCCTGTTGCATGCCCTGTGGTTTTACAGGTGGCGGTGACTGTGGCGTTGACTTTGGCTCTGTCGTTGAAGCAGTCGGCACCTTTTCTTTTTGTGCTTTTGGTAGTTGCGGTTGTTCTTCCCTCTGGCGTCGTTTTTCCTGTACTTCTTCATGGCCTTGAAGTTGTTGGTCATGCTGGGATAATCCTCTGTGCTGTACGTCGGTCTCGTGTTGTGGTTGTCCTGGCTCTACTTCCGGTTGCTTTCTTTCCTGCTGCGCTGGGTCTCCTTGTAGCGCTGCTTCTTGTCCTACAAGTTGATTTCCTTTTAGTACTGAAGCGTCTTCACGTGACGATTGTTTTTCGTGACTTTCTTTGTTTTTCTGTTTGTTCTTCTCTTCAAGTCCTTTTTTTGTTTTTACTTCTTCAACATCTTGCCGTACTTGCCGCGTGACTCCTGCATCTTGCACCGGGTTGGTTTGATGACTCTGACCAGCACCGGTAGGTGGAGCAGGAGGCTGTAGGCCTGTTTGGGGATTTGGGTCACTGGACTTGTGTGACGGCAATGACGGATCGGTAGAAATGGCATCTGTGTCGTTTGTCGTCGCCTTCGTACATTCCGCGGTATTTCCTTCCGACCCCGGCTCCACAGAGCAGGACTTGTGATCCAAACCTTCTCTTCCATCCATAACTTCAGATGATCCACCTTGTGGGGCTTCGGACCTCTCAGAAGAAAAATCCACATTCCCATCAGACTCATCACCATTGACCGCCGGCACTGCACCACAGCACGCAGAGGGCACACACCAGCAGCACACGGCCAGTCAACATCGCCATCACTCCTGCCACTTGCGTGTAGCCTTCAGCACAAACTAACAACACGTCAACGCAGAGCAAAAGCAAAAGGAGACAATTCACAAAGCCACGCACCGTCCCATCCAGCAATGAGAGTCACGCACCACCACAACAATTAGGTGGGCATGGTTCAACAACAATCAAAAAAAGAAGTGCTCCTCGCCAGTGCCCTGTTCCTCGCACTCTCACAGTCACTGTTACTGTTATTCCCTCTCCTCAGGCCCTCACAGGCACGCCACGCTCACTTCAACACGCGCCCCTCCAGCAAAGGCAGTCCGTCATGCGCTCCCACTGCGCCGCAACGTCCGTCACCTCCTCCCAGTCGAACAGCTCCGTGTCCTCCACGTCCCTCACAATCGTCGGCATGCCCCGGCCGCGCAACACCCACAGCGCCACAGTGTCGTGCCGCCTCTCCTCCCCAATCATGAACGCAACACCCTACGTGTGCAGGTGCACGTGCTCCATGCGCTGCAACCACAGGCCGATCAGGTTGGCTGTCATGAACTGCATCTTGTCGTCCTCCGTGTACTTGGAGCAGACCCTCACATCCTCTCAATCCACGGCCTGGTGCTGCGAGAGGCTGCCGAGAGGCGCTACGTGTGTGGAAGAAGCAAATGTGGGGAAACAACGGCCACCCTCACTCCCTCACACATCTCCACTTCCCTCCGCTGTCCCACACAAAAGGGCGGTGTCATGGGGAAGAGATGCCCGCCGCACAGCGCATGCACGAGGGCACACGCGGAAGCAATGCCATCCACTTCGCACCGCAAGATACTGCCATGCGCTCAGCACACACACGGCGGCAACGAGAGCGACGGGGTGCATCCAACTACATACCGCACAGACATTTACTTCTCTCCGCACGGCTAGTAGCGTCCCACACTCACAGTGAGGCACGGCGCACACCATCTTCTCCCTCCGAGAGCACTCAGGAGGCCAGCGCCCAGTCACCCTCGTGCCATCGCAATGGGTAGCACAAACAACCGTCGTCGCAAACCATCGGCGCCTCTAGCAGAAAAGAAGAAAAAGATATGAGGGCAGTTCAGAAACACAGCCGGCAGAGGGACACCCAACGACACACGGGGGCACACAGTGACAGTGGACACGGCACGGACAAAAAGAAGTCCGCAGGGATTTTTTAAAAAAGAAACTAAAATGAATCAGTAGGACTTCCATTTCGTGTGCCATGCAGCACAAGACGA